TGATTTTGTTAACAGACAAGCTGAAACCATCCAAAGCCGGCAGGGAACAAGGTGATAATAAGAGAAAATGTGTTTCACAGACAAAGGAGCAGACAGCAGGGGAGAGCAGTTCAGGGAGAGGCGAACATTAGAAGGAGTGTGCAGAGGACACACTAATCCCTCTGAAGCATACTGGGGAAAGCACAGGCCGTTTGAACTCCCTGGCAACTTCGGCCTGGTCTCCAAGTGGATTGAGAGGAATGAGAACAAAAGAAAAGTTCACTCCGAGTTCCTCTTGTCAGAGCAGGGGAAATTGCTTTGAGATCAGCACTAAAAGATGATAATGGTAGAAAGTGGAACCGAGTAACAGAAAGAAAAATCCCCAAAACCAAAAAGCGTGTCAGGTCACTGGGAGATTGCCTAGATAAAGTGAGATAAAACCACCACTGACAAGACATTAGCATAGGTCCTACCATGTACCGCTGTGCAAAGTCGATTCTAACCAAACTCACCTGGGTTAAATCTGAAGATAACGTCTCAACTACTCTAAGAATATTCGTTCACTTGACAAATAGTAATTGAGATTTCACTGTGTTGGTCAATTGTTATTAATGCTGGAAGGTGTGATAGGAGTCCTTATGTCCTGTATCAGCTGACTCTGTGAGGCCACAGATCATAGGAACATGAGTTATGGGAAATTGACATTGACCCTGCAAGGGCACAGGTCCAGCAGAAAATAAAGGAAGATGTAGGAGAGCCAAAGTGGTGACTAGAAAGAAATGTGTGCATGTTTAAATTCCTTGTTACAGGCTGAATGTTTGTGTCCCCCCTAAATGCTTTTGTTGAAATCCTGACCCCAGTGTATTCAGAGGTGGAGCCTTTGAAAGACTATTGAGGTCAGGGGGTGGAGTCCTCTTGAATGGGATTAGTGTTCTTGTGAAGAGACCCCAGAGAGCTCTCTAGCCCTCTTTCTACCATGTGAAGATACAAAAGGGCAGCAGTCTGCAACTGGAAAGAGGGCCCCCACTTGGCTAGGCCATGCTGGCACCCTGATCTCAGACTTCCACCTCCCAGAACCGTGAAAAATACATTTCTTTTTGTTTATACGCCACCCAGTTTATGGTATTTTTGTTATAGCAGCCTAAACTTACTAAGACACCCCTTAAGAGGAAAGATACAACCAACTTATCCAGGCCTAAAATTTCTCATCCATACAAAATAAAAGTTGAACAAGATGATTCATACCTTCCCTTTTGGTAGACTTGAATGGTTCTGGGAGTTATCTGGAGTTCACACAATGGAGACGGGACAACATGAATTCTCCTAATGTGGGAATCGGTAAATAGCTGCAGGTACTAGAAACTACAGGTACATTTTCTATATGTTTTGATCAGTTGTTGAGAAATTTTTAAATGCTAAAGATGCTAAAACTTTTCTCCAAGATTCTAAGCCAAAGGTTGTAAACTAGGCACCTCTAAGTTTTGTTTGGTAAGCAGAATATTTCTTAAAAATTGACCCCAGCAGGTCGAGGCTGCAGTGGCTGGGAGCATGCCACTGCCCTCCAGCCTGGGTGTCAGAGTGAGACTTCAACTCAAAAATAAATAAATAAATAAATAACTAATCTGAAAACCTAGAGTGTTGACTTCTCTTGAAAGACTGAACTATCTGGCGGCATTAGGCCCTCCAGCAGCCATCAGCTAGAGGTGGGTAACATATGTCCTATGTAGATGGAGCACGTGTTATCTAGTTTGGTCATCTCTACCACTCAGGGTGACCATTTAACTTGTCCAGCACTTTTAAGAACAAAAGGGGAGGGTGCTATTAGTAAGTACACCTGGACCACAGGCATAAACCGGAATTTTCATGAGCAATGAGAAAGTATGTTTACATGAATTCACATGGCTTACACTGGGCTTGCTTTCTTCTTCTTGGCCCAGTTATTTGGTTTTCGTGCTTGCAAATCAGGAACTCTTATGAGGATAAAGAGTGTAAAATAAGGAAGAGACATGAAGGTTGAAAACAAAGCAAAGAAATTTAAAAGGATATTAAAATGAATGCCGACTATACCAGACCCCTAGGTAAAGGCAGAGCCTTGCTGGTGGCTGGCTCAGCATGGAGGTTTGACCTTCCAGACTCCCTGCCCTCCACAGCATTGTCTGTTTTAATAAGCTGTAATCCCGTAGTTACAAGCATGACTAATCAAACCGCAGAGAGCAGTTTGGTCCTAATCAGGAAAGCACAGAATAACATTTAGCTCCGTGATTTCTCAGGGAGTTCCAAGCTGCCTCTACAGAAAAAACATCCTGGATAAGATAGTTGTTTCACTCTAGCTTTGACCCTTTGATAATCTTTGTTTGAAATTTGTATTAAAATATTTTAATTATACAAGCATTGGGTTCAAAAAAATGTTTTAGAAGAGTAGTTTCTCTTTACTTTATTCCAAGGAATAACACAATATACCTATCCCAAGATACGTAGAAACCATACTCTTTTTTTTTTCTTTGAGTTGGAGTCTTACTCTTGTTGCCCAGGCTGGAGTGCAATGGTATACTCACGGCCACAGCAGCCTCGATATGCTGGGCTCAGGGGGTCCTTCTGCTTCAGCCTTCCAAATACCTGGATCTACAGGTGTGCGCCACCACGCCCAGTTAATTTTTTAATTTATTGTAGAGATGAGGTCTTGCCAATTTGCCCAGGTTGGTCTCAAACCCCTGGTCTCAGGCAATCTTCTTGCCTCAGCTCCCAAAATGCAGGGATTACAGGCTTGAGCCACTGTACCCTGCCTGGAAACCATAGACTCTTAAGGATTACTAGAGTTCACTTGAACTAATCACACTGCCAGACCCTTTTAACACTACTCAGGGTGTGGTTACAGTTGCAAACTGGGAGGCAAGGAGATTTCGGGACATGGAGTAGCAAGCCATGTTGAGCACCTACATGAGCCAGTGCCAGCTATTCCCCATTGGAAGAGTTGGTACCAGGGCTGAGTTACAGTAAAATCCTAGAGTACCCAATACCCCAAGGCCAGGAGGCCCCTCTACTTGGTCCTGATTCTCTTGGCTTCTTCGACCCAGGAATAAGTCAAAATATCTAATAATCTACAATCTACTTAAGTGTAATAGTTAGCTGTTAAGTTTTAGTCAGATGGAACTAGAATCTAAAGCCGAGCAGTGATAAGCCCTTAGGCAAACTACTCAATCTTCCTGAAATTTTTGTAGGCTCTCAGGTAGGCTACTCAACCTTCCTGGAACTCAGTTCTTAACATAGAAATGATAATACCAACACCTCACAGCCATGCTCTAAGGGATCATGAGATATGTGTAGAAAGCATTTACTAAGGTGCTTTTACTAACATTTTTAATACTAGTGTATTAAAAATGTTCCATAGATTGTCGTTGTTTTTATGTGCTAGCATGGCCTTAAGGCCTCTAATTATATAATTTAAAGAGATGAGGCAAGGGACTCACTATAATGTGTATCACTGTATTATCTCCTGTTCAATTCCACATGTAGCACAAATGCTCTTCAATGAGAAATCTCTAGAACATTTCCAGTACCATGGAAATGTAATATTTTGTTTAACAGTCTCACTACCATTTACAGAAAGGCAAACACAGTAAATTTGTTTAATTAAAAATGTTTTATTGACTACTGTCTTTCATATATTTACCACATTAAAAAAAAGATCATTTTTTCAAATTGCTCATAAGAAAAAGACCCAGGAAAATGAGCAATATTGAACACAATTTTCAGTGTTTTGGACATAAAATAAAACTCATAAATTTTATATGGGTTCAGGGATACTTACCATTACAGTACTCTCCCAACAATGGGTTGGGCACTGAACAGAAATATAAACATATGAACAGTCCAATTCAATGCATTTCAAAATAATCAGATCTTTGAGAACAGAAATTGTCTTCCATACATGCCCCTTGCCATTTGTGGAGTAGTTATCAGAATGTCCACGAATTTTTGAAATTCAAAATTTCTTTACCAAAAAGAAAGCCATATAGATGGGCTCCCAATGCATAAAACTTGCAGTAGTCACATAATAATTGAAACAATGTTCAGAAATGCCCATTAAATTTTAAACGCATAGCAAAATATAGCATAAAAGTGTAAAATAAATGTATTTCTTACCCCTACAAAAATAGGGCATCTTTTTGGTTTGGTTGTTGTTATTTTTACAAAAACTTAGTGCACACATGTACATGTATGTGTATTCCTTATAGAAAATTTGACAAATATAGAGATGACTTAGAAAGAACCAACCTCCCCCTGCAGCCTTAGGACCTACTGATGTCAATTCAACAACCACTTTAAAGCCCACAAGCCAAACTTCTTTGTAGGCTCTCAAATATCTCTATTGTTGCCTGTCCCTTGGCACAGTGCATTTTTCATCAAGCCAATAGAGATTACTAGACAAGGACATCAACTAAGGCTGTGACTCTAATCTAAACTTTTTGTTCTTCAAATTTTAGAGCTAGAAAATCTTAGAAGTTCATTCAATCCCAGCCACTGTGCCTGTCTCCATTTATTCAGGAAACAGGCATGGAAAGGTTATATGATTTGCCCACCGTCACAGCCGAGGAAGACAGAAACTGATTCTCTAATTGCCAGGTCATGGCTCCGTCCAAGTGAGCACACTGAGAATGGATCTGCACAAGTAGCGGGGCTTCAGTTATTATGTGGTTAGACTATTAACGAGCCTGGAAGGCAGACCACAAGGGATCTGTACAACTAGAAGACAGCAGCCAGGCAAACTTTTGGTTCCTAACAGGCAACTGCACTGGCTCTAGAAAGACAAGTCACAAGCAGACCATGTGGCCAAATGAAACAGTGTGACCTGAGTCAACTGATCATAGGAGCAATATTTGAGCCCACATTCCAGGGAGATGTGGGCCCAGTTAAGTCACAAGAGCCATTTCTGATTCACTGCACTGCTAGGGCAGTGTGGAAGGCAAAAGTATCTGAAAGAGCCTCCTTCTAATAGCATGAGGATTAAATAAGGAAAACCTTCAAATCAGCCAGATTCTTTCCAGTTAACAGGCATGTGTCCACAGAGGTTGTGCCACTCACAGTCATCTCTCAAGCTCAATTCAACTCCGTGGTCCCTCAGAATCTTATAACCTTTACTTTGAGGCTGTCCCTTCACATCTAAAGTTTTTGATTTTGACTAAATGAATCTCTATCATCTAAAAGACTTAGCCTAGAAATTTTAAAGGTCACAGTTCAATTCTCTTTGCTCAATCCAGGTCACTTAAGTCTTTAGAAGAAATCTCTTTACCCTCACGTGGACAGTCTGGTATAGCCATTCCTTATCTTAGCAGACCTTATGTCCAAATATGAATGATTAAAGACAGAGCATTTCTTCTTCACTTCTTCTCATGTTATAACAGTGGTACCGGTTCAATGTGAAGAGTCAGACTTGTATTTACAAGGTCTCAAGATGCTTGCCTGTGGATAAGCTCTTTCAACTGTGCCAGTCTGTCACTTTTTAGTGCTTCCCGGATGGAGTGGAAAAACCCAAAGTAGTGTTCAAAGTTGTGCATCATAAGCAGGACACCAGCCAGCAATTCATTGGTCACCAGCAGATGGTGGACATATGCACGAGTGTGATTCTTACAGCAGTAACAAGAACATCCTCTCACTAGTGGGTTAAAGTCCTCCTGGTACCTAAGAAAGAAAGTCACAATGACATTCCAGAAAGTGAGAAACACAACAAAATCTACAACCTAGCCTATCTATACAGCTGGCGAAGTTACCAAGGATTAATAACATCACTGGCAGATGTTGCTTAAGACAGTAATATAGTTAAAAGTTGACAAAGAACACAATGAGTCAGGGAGACTCAGAAATTTTCCTCTGACTGATGCAACCTCTGAGTCAAGGGATTACAAAGGAGCATCAATGAATGGCCACTCATTCGTGTTGAGTAGGACTAGTCACATTGTAAAGGCATAAAATGTTAAAAAACACTGTTCTAGCGAGTGATACTTCTTTTACACTCACTACCAAAATTAGTATCAAAAGACATGGTATGACTTTCTTCCTGCATAGCTTTTTACAAGCACTGTCACATACACTGTCTCACTTAATCTCTCCATCCACTCTTGGAGATAACTATTTTGATTATCACTTCACAGATGAAGACTGAGGGAGTTAAGAAGGGTCTGGAGCTACCCTACATGGGTTTGATTCCTGTCTCCACAACTCACTTGGGCAAGTCACTTAACTTCCCTCTGTGCCTCTGTTTCTCCCTACCTCAGAGAGTTGTTGCTAGAATTAAGTGAGTTAATATAGTCAAAGAGCTTGGACACTGCTGGGCACAGACTAAGCACTATATAGGTATTACCTATTATCAGCTATTAAACGGGAGCTAAGTGACTTGACCAAGGTCATACAGTTAAGAGCAGTGTTAGGATTTATCTCCAAATCCCCAAAACTTCATGTCTAGTGTTAAAAAAGAATATTACAATTTCCAAATAAATCTATAATGTATAGGGGATTTTAATATTAACCATTTATTTATATCACCCTAACATTTTAAAGACAGAAATAAATTTCCTTGGCTATTTTTCTACAAGTTAAATGTGGTAGATATCACTGTTTCAGACCCACAATCAAGAAGTCCCAACAGAATATAGGTAAGAACTAGGCTTTTTACATTTTTTCATAAATTCTCAGTTCTGAACTATTACTAGCTAGACATAGGTCAGAATCTCTAAAATGTCCTTTCACATAAGCAAAAACACCCCATTTTTCCAAAATGACAAATGACATGATACAGATTGAGTATCTCTAATCTGAAAATCTAAAAATGTTCCAAAACAGAAATTTTTTGAGCACCAACATGATGCTCAATGGAAATGTTCACTGGAGCAATTTGGGTTTTGGGTTAGGAATGCTTAGTCAGTAAGTATAATGCAAATTCCAAAATCCAAAAAAATCTAAAATCTGAAACACTTTTAGGCCAAGCATTTGGATAAGGGATACTCAAACTGTATCTTAGTTCATTCTTTATAAAAGCAAATATTCTATAACCTACATCTAAACAAGATGACTTAAGCATCTTACAATCTGAAGTACCTTACAATGTAAAAACTTTGTTGTGTTTTATCTTGAAATCCTTATTATTTATCTCGAAAGCATGGGTCCCCAGCCCCTGGGCTATGAACTGGTACCAGTACATGGACTGTTAGGAACTGAGCTGCACAGCAGGAGGTGAGTGGCAGGTGAGCAGAGCTCCACCTTCTGTCAGATCAGTGTGGCATTAGATTCTCACAGGAGTGCACACCCTATCGTGAACTGCAGATGTGAGGGATCTAGGTTGTGTGCTCCTCATGAGAATCTAATGCCTGATGATTCCCCCTGGTCTCCCCCCAACCCTACCTGCTGTCTATGGAAAAATTTTCTTTTACAAATCTGGTCCCTGATGCCAAAAAGGTTGGGGACTATTGCTTTAAAGGAATAAATTTTGTCTAATCTTTCTGACAGTTTTTCTAAAACAACAGTTATCTAGCCTTAGTTTTCTGAAAAGATAAAGTACACAAATTCATCTACAGAAAAAAAAGTTTTTCTAGAATTTAATTTGAGAAAGTTTAAGTAATCTCCAACTATAAATATTTTATGAAGTCATAAATTGGAAATAGTTACATAACCTTTTAAAACAAACTAAAATTTATCTCAGATCCCAAGCAGTAGAACCCTATCCCTGATGAGAGACATACAATTCAGACTATGGATGGCAAAGACACTCATCAAAAGCCACAAAAAGATGGACACACAAATCACCCAGGCCTCGAAAACACGGCAGGAAGTGAAAGCTGAGCTGACTCTTAAAAGAAGGACCAATCTAAAATCCTTTAAATGAAGAATTCTTTCCTGGAATTCAAAGCACAATAGTAAGCCTCAATAGCAGAATCAACCAGACAGAGGAAAGAATCTCAGAACTTGATGACAAAGTATTGAGCTAACCCAGTAGATTAAAAAAAGGAGAAAAGGCTTAGGAAGAATGATCAAAACCTACAAGAGGTCTGGGATTATATAAACAGACCAAATTTACAGTTGATTAGTATCCCTGAGAGAGAAGAGGAAACTTAGAATACCCTGGAACAAGCCTTCCAAGATGTTATCCAAGAAAACTTCCCCTATCTTGCTAGAGATGGCCATGCAGACTCAAGAAATTCAGAGAACTCCTGCGAGATACTACATGAGAAGACCACTCCCAAGGTACATAATAATCCATCTTCCCAAGATGAGTAAGAAAGAAAAAATCATAAAGGCAGCTAGAGAGAAGGGATAGATCATCTACAAAGGAAGACCCATCAAAATTACATCCAACTTCTCAGCAGAAAACCTACAAGCTAGAAAGGACTAGAGTCCCATTTTTAACATTCCTAAAGAAAAGAAAAATCAAGCCAAGAATTTCCTATCCTGCCAAGCTAAGCTTCATTAAGGAAGAAAAATTAAAATCCTTCCCAGACATCCAATCCCTAAGAGAATATGCCAGACTTCGGGACAGATTAACAACCCTTCAGGAAATGCTTAAGAAAGTTCTAAGCAGCCGGGCTCGGTGCCTGTAATCCTCGGTGCCTGTAATCCCGCACCTTTGGGAGGCTGAGGTGAGTGGATTGCCTGAGCCCAGGGGTTCGAGACCCGCCTGGGCAGTGAGACCTCATTTCTACAACAAATCAAAAAATCAGCCAGGTGTGGTAGTGCATGCCTGTAATTCCGGCTACTTGGAAGGCTGAGGCGAAAGGATCGCTGGAGCCCAGGAGGTCGAGGCTGGGGTGGCCGGGAGCGGCCACTGCACTCCAGTCTGGGCGACAAAGTGAGACTCCAACTCAAAAAAAAAAAGAAAGCTCTAAGCACAGAAACAAAAGACATTTCCACCCATTGCAAAAGTACAGGCAAGCACAGAGTTTATAGACCATACAAATCAACCAGAAAACCTAAAAAGCAAAGCAACTTCTTAATAGCAATATAACAGAAACACCCCCCCACATACATATCAATAATTAACTTAAGCATGAACAGATTGAAAAGGAATGGAGTGGCAAATTGGAGAAAGAGGAATGATCCATCCTTTTGTACCCTTCAGGAAATCCATCTTACTGCAAATGACATTCACAGGCTTAAGATAACGGGCTGGAGAAAGATCTTCCAGGCAAAAGAAAAACAAAAATGAACCAGAGTAGTTAATCTTGTATCAGATAAAACAAACTTTAAACCAATAAAAGTCAAAAAGTACGAAGAACACTACATAATAATAAAGGCTCAATCTATCAGCAAGAAACAGCCATTTTGAATATACACAACACCCAACATAGGAGCACCCAGATTTATAAAACAATTGCTAATTAAACTAAGAGAGGATATAGACAGTCATACAATTATGGTTGGAGACTACTACTCTGCTAGCAGCTGTAGACAGATCATTAAGGCAAAAAAACTAACAACGGAAATCTGGAACCTTAACTTGAGACTCAATCAATTGAACCTAATAGACATCTACAGAACACTTCACTTAACAACCACAGAATATACATTTTTCTCATCAGCACATGGAACATACTACAAGATCGACCGCATACTTGGACGTAAATCAAGCGTGAACAAATTGCTAAGGGTTGAAATCATACCAAGTGTCTTCTCAGACCACAGTGAAATAAAAAGAAATATCACCAACAGAAACCCCCCAAAACACACAAATACATGGAAATTAAACAACATGTTTCTGAATGACTTTTAGGTTAACACAGAAATCAAGGCAGAAATAAAGATTCTAGAAACAAATGAAAACAAAGACACAATACACCAGAACCTCTGGGATACCCTGAAAGTGGTACCAAGAAGGAACTTTATAACATTGCATGCACATATCAAGAAAATAGAGGGATCAGCCAGGCTCAGTGGCTCAGCCTGTAATCCCGCGCCTTTGGGAGGCTGAGGTGAGTGGATTGCCAGAGCCCGTGGGTTCAAGACCCGCCTGGGCAGCGAAACCTCATCTCTACAATAAATCAAAAAATCAGCCGGGCGTGG